CCAGGACATCCTGAACAAAAAGGTGGTGCTGCTGACGGGAGAAACGAGCACAGATCTGAAGCTCTTGGGGAAAGGTGACATCATTGTCAGTACCCCCGACAAATGGGACATCCTGTCTCGTCGCTGGAAACAAAGGAAGAACGTCCAAAACGTCAGCCTTTTCGTCGTGGATGAAACACACCTGATCGGAGGAGAAAATGGAGTAAGTGCTGCTTTATTTCAGTGATTTTATGTCATATACATTAGGTGTGTACTGCAATAGTAATATTTGTTTCTTAATTAACAGTAAGGTTAAGTAACTTCAGTAGGTTTAGTGCCATTAATGGTTCACAGGATAATCATGTCCTTTGTTTCTTTTCATTAGCCCGTGTTAGAGGTCATCTGCTCCAGGATGAGGTACATCTCCTCTCAGATTGAGCGTCCCATCCGCATCGTCGCCCTCAGCTCCTCCTTGTCCAACGCCAAAGACGTGGCCCACTGGCTGGGCTGCAGCACCACAGCCACGTTCAACTTCCACCCCAACGTCAGGCCTGTGCCTCTGGAGCTGCACATCCAGGTCTGTTAACAGTGTGCTAGTCAACAATTTCAAACAAAGCAAATGTGTACACAAACATAGAGACATAAATTCATATCCAGCTTCTGATTTGCTGTTAACTCTTCTGGTCTGTTTAGGGCTTCAATGTGAGTCACACTCAGACTCGCCTGCTGTCCATGGCTAAGCCGGTATATCACGCCATCATGAAGCACTCTCCCTCCAAGCCGGCCGTGGTGTTCGTCCCGTCCCGCAGACAGACTCGCCTCACAGCCATCGACATCCTGACTTTCTGCGCTGCCGATGTGGTTCCTCAGAGGTCAGTCGCTACAGTGATATCATAGGTGGTGATAGTGCTGGTTTTTGCCATTACATATTGATGCTGTGGCTGCAGAATAACAGTTTGTCTCTCTGTAGGTTCTTGCACTGCACTGAGAAAGACCTGGCTCCATTCCTGGACAAAATAAATGACCCAACTCTGAAAGAGACCGTGGCCAACGGCGTGGGCTACCTGCACGAGGGCCTCTCTGCGACTGAGCGCAAAATAGTGGAGCAGCTCTTCAACTCAGGTTTGACTCACTCCTGCTCTGCACTTTCAGCTTGGTCTATGAAAGTTTTTAGGTTTATAATTATCTTCCTCTCCTTTTTACAGGCGCTGTTCAGGTGGTGGTGTCCTCTCGTTCACTCTGCTGGGGCATCAACATCTCTGCACACCTTGTCATTGTCATGGACACTCAGTACTACAACGGCAAAATCCACGCGTAAGTTCTCCCACTAGCTTGCTTCTCTCATTATACCGTAACTAATACGTATTGTGTCGGTGACATTCTCCTCCTGTTTCCGCTCTTTCTCTCAAGATATGTGGACTATCCCATATATGACGTCCTCCAGATGGTGGGCAAGGCGAACAGACCCATGCTGGATGACGAGGGCCGCTGTGTCATTATGTGCCAGGGCTCCAAGAAGGTAAAAAGACCTCTGTTATTTCTGTCTTGTTCCCTTTTGAAGACAGACAGTGACTTGTGCTAAAGCAATGACTGTGTGACAGTAAGAACAAACCAGTTTCTTTTTCTTTTCTTGATAGGACTTCTTCAAGAAGTTCCTCTACGAGCCGCTGCCAGTGGAGTCTCACTTGGACCACTGCCTCCACGACCACTTCAATGCTGAGATTGTCACCAAGACTGTGGAGAACAAGCAGGACGCCGTGGACTACCTGACGTGGACATTCCTCTACCGCCGTATGACCCAGAACCCCAACTACTACAACCTGCAAGGTGAGTCTGAAAGAACAGTTTTAAGGGGGAGAATAAATATGGTTTTACTTGTACCCCATCAGATGTTGGGAACAACCTATAAATATCCTGTTTTGTGTTTACATTGGCAGGCATGTCCCATCGTCACCTGTCAGACCACCTGTCTGAGCTGGTGGAGCACACGTTACATGACCTGGAGCAGTCCAAGTGCATCAGCATAGAGGACGAGATGGATGTAGCACCGCTCAATTTGGGCATGATCGCTGCCTACTACTACATCAACTACACCACCATCGGTTTGTGCCAGAACAACTGTCCTATCGCACTAAAAATAATAAAAAGTCATGGATACTTTTATGTAATGAAAAATGTAATGAACTCCTCACACATAACTGACTTGGTGTCTCTTGTGTTTTGCAGAGTTGTTCAGCATGTCCCTGAATGCCAAGACAAAGATCCGTGGGTTGATTGAGATCATCTCCAATGCTGCCGAGTACAAGAACATTCCCATAAGACATCACGAGGATGCACTTCTCCGACAGGTAAACAAACAACACTGACAGAACTCAAACATGACTGACCTCATAACATAGTAACATTAACACTTTCCTACAAAGTTGGTACGTTGAAACTAGAACTGTAGTTTGATTAAAACATTTGACCAATTCATCACACTTTAACCTTTAGTGAAACTTTCCACATAAAACATCTGTCTCCATCCTTGAGCTAGAAAAACATTTTAAATGAATCGCACCAGTTGAAACTGATTGTGTTGGAACAATTTATTTTTGTGTTTCAGTTGGCACAGAAGGTGCCTCACAAGCTGAACAACCCGAAGTTCAACGATCCCCACGTAAAGACCAACCTGCTGCTGCAAGCCCACCTCTCCAGGATGCAGCTGAGTGCCGAGCTGCAGTCGGACACAGAGGAGATCCTGAGCAAGGTACACATTTATGGTGATTTTGGAGGGTGAATAAACTCGAATTTCTTGTTTCCTGCTGCATATTTAACCCGCGTGTTGTGTGTTTGTAGGCGGTTCGTCTGATCCAGGCCTGCGTCGACGTGCTGTCCAGTAACGGCTGGCTGAGTCCCGCACTTGCCGCTATGGAGCTGGCTCAGATGGTCACCCAGGCCATGTGGTCCAAGGACTCGTACCTCAAACAGCTGCCCTTCTTCACCGGAGAGCACATCAAGCGCTGCACGGACAAGGTACATCAGTGTTTGCTCTTTCTACATAATGTGCTTCATAAAATCTAGATCTCGCTTCAACACTAATGGACACAACCCGTTCTATAAATCCCTGCTCTTTTCACTAGGGTGTGGAGAGTATCTTTGACATCATGGAAATGGAGGATGAAGACAGAACTGCGTTGCTGCAGCTCTCAGACATCCAGATGGCAGATGTGGCTCGCTTCTGTAACCGCTACCCCAACATCGAGCTGTCCTACGAAGTGGCAGAAAAGGACAACATCAAGAGGTATGTGTGGGTTCTGTCAGCAGACTGAATGACTACATACAGTCCAGGGCTGTACCCGGTTCGTTAAATTAAATTGGATTTAGCTGATCAATATAAAGACAGAAACATGAGGCTACATTATTGTCACGTTTTAGCCTAAATTTCTTCATCATGTGAAAAGATTTCCAGTCAGAGAAAGTTAAAGTGTGCATACTGCTCATATTTTAGTTATAAAATCTCAGTAAATGTCTCTTGGCTCTGGCTGCTGACCGTGCTGTCAATCACTTCTGTCACTTAGAAGTTTTACCGCCGTCTGGTTCAAAAGTTTTACTTTACTGACAGTCAGCACCGGAGCAGAGAGCATCCACTGTCCCGCTGCCCTCCAGTCTTCTCTGCTTTCATCGCAGAATGTTTTGTGGTTTGTGGCCATTTTGAACCTCTGTAAAGTTTACAGCCCGCCATGCTGTTGCTCTGCTGATTTTTGCCCCCGGGTCTGACTGATGAATCAAATCAGCGTCTTTTAGGGGGCAGCACTAATTCATAATGTTGCAAAGGAAGAAATACAGAAGTTTAACAGCTGCTTGTCGAGGATAATGGTGTCTATTTTTCATAATTTTCCTCCCACATTGTTACTTTTGCCACATGCTGATGTATATTTCCATGTTTCCTCACAGTGGCAGTCCAGTTCTGGTTCAGGTTCAGCTGGAGAGAGAGGAGGAGGTGACTGGGCCTGTCATCGCACCTCTCTTCCCTCAGGTAAATGCACTGTGTTCTTGCATTTCCAAGAGTCTCTATGATCATTTCTTTCCCCATTTACACATAATGACCGTTCTGTAAATGTTTCCCATTGTTGCAGAAACGCGAGGAGGGCTGGTGGGTGGTGATCGGAGACCCCAAGAGTAACAGCCTTATCTCTATCAAGAGGCTGACTCTCCAGCAGAAAGCAAAGGTCAGTGAGAGCCGCCCACTGCAATGATATCTCACCACCAAAAATAAACACTTTAAACCAACAGAGAATCCTCACGTTGTGTATCGCTCATCTTCCCCCCTCCGCAGGTCAAGTTGGACTTCGTTGCACCAGCGATGGGCGTTCATAACTACACCCTGTACTTCATGAGTGACGCATACATGGGTTGCGACCAGGAGTACAAGTTCAGCGCGGATGTGAAGGAGGCTGACAGCGAGGGAGACAGTGATTCAGACTAATCAGTAACTTGCAGTCTCCTGCGTTTTGTTTTATATTGAAGAGGGATGGGTAGGTGTTTTTTTTTTTTTTACTGTAGATATTCAGCCTGATTCATGTCCCTTCTCTTTGTCATTATCACCTCTACTCTTGTGAAAAACGTCATTTTATTCAATACGTTTGTGTCAGTTTAAATCACCTGAATGATGTACACCAGTCCAGAATTATAGTGTACAGGATCGGTTTACAGTTAATATAATCAGACATGTATTACAGGTACATGGCAAACTGCGCTCACTGTTGTAATGAAGCCCCAATCTGGTTCTGAGTGTATTAAGTACATAAAAATTTGTGCTTACTGATTGCTTACTTTTTAGGTCTGACAGGAATTTTGATGATTTATAAAAAAACAAAAACAAATACAAATCCAGATTGGGTCTTTAAATACTTTAAACTGTCCATGTTGTATTTTTGGACTTTGTTTTTGTTGTGAAATCAAATTCTTGGACTGGTGGAGATGTTTTTAGTATGATGTGCTGTCTGGAATATTTTTTGCAATAAAGAGAAGCCACATAATTGTTTTTTTATATTCTCTTTATTTATATAAACATTAATTGTCAATAAAATCTTAATTAAGCTGTTATAAAGAAATATGTAGACTCACAGAAAGCACAAGATGCACTGAAAGCGTTATTGTCAGTTTAGAATTGTAACATGATGTGTTTATAAACTGTTATTAAGCTGAATCCTTGCGGAGCTATGAGAAGCTGTAAAAGCTGAATGAAGAATATGCGTGGTGACCACAGTTCCCAGTGTAACTCAGTGAGGGGCCAGTTGAGCGCTCAGTCTTCCTCGTGGAACCTCCAGATGGAGATGTCTCCTTCATCGCTGCAGGAGGCCAGGAGTCCCGCCTCCTTTGGGTTCCAGGCGACGCAGTTGACGTCCTGGCTGTGAGCTTTGGTCGCCTGAGCGGCCAGCGAGAACACCGGCTGGTCTGGATCGGACGCCTCGTCCTCCTTAAACACTCGCACTGCGTCATCACCGCAGGCGGTAGCCAGGGCGCCGGTCAGCCGACACCTGAACGAGGGATAAAAGTTCTCAGTTTGAGCTTATAAGAGGACAGATTCAGGCGCATGCAGACATAAATGGGGAGAGGTTTCACTATTCGACTCAACCGCAACAAATTAAAGTATACAATTCAACCTTTCTTAATTGTGGTGAAAACTGGGGACATTGTAGTGTTTTCCAGATATTTGTAGTTGTGTTTTGTGTTTTCTACATTATGTCAATTTACCACCAATAATAAGGAAGGGTGAGTGTCTTTACAATTAAATGCCACATTTTTAAACAGGTTATGCCAATAATATGTAATGGATAACGCCCGACGAGGTGTTCATCATCAGAATTAATGTACAACGTGGAGCGTACAGACAGTTGACACTGATGAGATAACCTTAATGGATGAGCAGACTGATCCACAGAGTATACAGACAATATATAAAGATGAGTCTTACCAGGCGACATCGTACACCGTTCGTTTGTGGTACCCAGACAGAGTGCACACACACTTCCACGACAAGTCTCCTGTTTAACAAGCAGAGCAGGAACAAAAGGTTGAGATAAAATAATCCACCAATATCATCCAGTAGCGCTGAATATCATATCAATAACATTTAAAATTATATCTAGTCCTGTCACTGATTGGATATTATGTTTTGTTAAAGAGTTTTCTGATTATTAGACTTTATTTATCAGAAGAATAATCCTGCCCACCACTAACAACTCACCCTGTCCACTTTCATTTGGATACTCCTTCCAGATCTTCACGGTGCGGTCGTCGCTGCACGAGGCCAACCTCTGTCCACTTCCATCAAAAGCCAAACTCCAGACTGTGGACGTGTGTCCTTGCAAGGTGGCTCGGCACTCCCAGTCGTCATCCTCTTCCTTGTAAATACAAACGTTGTTGTCGTAGCTCGCTGAAGCCAGGAGCTGTACGAACACATGGAGAACAACGTAGTAAGATTACGGTGCGACAAAGCGAGGAATGACTGTGAGCGGAGAAGAGTGGGACCTACCTCCTGGGTCGGGTGCCACACAACATGCTTGACATCTTGTGTGTGGGAGTTTACGACGGTCACACACTCGTACTCGTCTTCTTCGTCCACTGTGGAACACAAAAGGGAGAGACACACACACACACACACATCAGTCGGTTTGTTGATTTCCCTGCCGTGCATCTGAGGCGGTGACACACTGTATAAGTTTAACACAAACCTTCCCAGACCCAGACGCTCTTGTCTCGGCTACACGTTGCCAGCAGGTTCCCTGAAGGGGCCCACGCCACACACTTGACCTCATTTTCATGTCCTTCCAGCACGGTCAAACTCTAGAAGACAAGGAAAAGGAACTGTGGGTAAAATCCACATACGGCGCAGCATATTTCTAAGAGAAGATAAAAAAAAAATAAAATAAAATCTAACCTCAAAATCCTCGTTGTTCTTTTTCCAGATGCACGTGGTTGCGTCAAAGCTGGCAGAGGCCAGATATTTCCCGCAGGGAGACCACGCCACTTTCCTCACGGTGCGCTGGTGTCCGTCCTGAAGCACACTCTTACAGATCCAAGAGTCACCTAAAAGAGGCCATCAGAGATATATGGATGTACCGTTTATACTGGAGCTGCAATGAACAGTCGGTTAATCGATTACTAACTATTTGGATAATCTTTTGAGTACTTTTTTTTTAAAAAGAAAAATGTCAAATTTCTCTGGTTTCAGCTTCTCAAGTGTGATTTTTTTCTGGTTTCTTTACTTCTCTGTGACAGTAAACTGAATATCTTTGAGTTGTGGACAAAACAAGACATTAGAAGACGTCACCTCGGGCTTTGGGAAACAGTGATTATTCATTATTCTGCATTTTATAGACCAAACTACAAATAGATGAATCAATTCAATAATGAAAATACTTGTTAGTTGCAGCTCTAGTTTATACAAGGGTGGCCGTCCCTTTAATTTCTCTTAATAAACATTGAGGGCAATTTTAAATATTAATGTGTTGCTTTATGGCAAAATAGATTTACACGATTGTTGCATTGATGTAACGTGTTGTTTGTTTTTTTAGGTAGTTAATGAATAAAATTTGCCAAAAACAGATATTTCTGTATTATTATTTTATCTAAGCAGTGTTTTCTCTGTTGAATTACCAAAAAATAATAAATTAATATTAAAATGTTGTTATTTTACTGTATTTGTATTATATTTTTAAATTATTATCTCGTTATTTCTCTCTATTATGATCCACACTCGCTCTGTGACGCACTTTGAACTGAACTAACCTATACATAACCAATCTATATAAATAAAGTTTAACTGATTTATATAATTGTATATATTACACCATGATAAAGGATTTTATCCATAGCAGCCACATATAACCTGGAGTACCAATAAATCAAATAATTTAACATTTTAACTCACAGAACCAGAAATTAAGATGAACTTTGGTTATAAACCCTCTAAATATCCACTGTCTAATAACACAATGCCATATACAGTCCAATATATTTATCTTTATTTATCCTCTATACAGTTATCTACATTTATCTTATTTGATTTTACTTTTATTCTTATCTCTACTTTCTATATTTATCTAAGAGTTTATTGTCTATCTTATACTGTACTTTGTTATACCTCTTTTATTCTCTATATAAATGTTTTGTAAGCTGCTGGAAATCCAATTTCCTTGAGGGAGTCATCCCAAAGGGATCAATAAATCGAAGTCTAAGTCTAAATAACAAATAAATCTGCTGTTTTGTTTCACTCATTATCACATTTTAACTACTCCCATACCAGATATTATACATAGAAATGGAAGTGAAGTTCATATACAATGATTTAAAGTGTTTTCACTGTTTTTATTGAGAAAAAAAGGATAAAAAATAATATAAAAACCATCTAAATTTTTTTTAAAACAGTCACACGAGAGAGAACTGAAGCATTAAATACCATTATATTATTAATCTATATTATAAGAGCTGTAATAAGCGATGAGAAGACATCCTAAGAGTCATAATAAAGTTATTTAATCTGGAAGTAAACAGTCTCTCGCTCCATGTTGTTGACGGCTCACCTTCTCGTCCCCATATCCGGATGGCCTTGTCACCGCCGCACGAAGCCAGCAGCGTCCCGGACGGGCTCCAGCTGACGAACCAGCACCGGGAGTCCGGGTGTGCGCTCAGCTTCTGGACCAGGGTCAAAGCCTCCTTCATCTCCGAGCCTGGTGGGGGTTTTGTTTTTCTTTTTTCTGAGCCGCTGTGGCTTCCGTCCGCCAGGCGGTTAACTGACGCGGAGATTAATCCGCCGTCACAAACGAACACGACGCGCTGTAACGGTCCGCGCAAACAAGCAGTGCGTTACTAAACTACGGCGCAGCGTGTCGGCTGCACTTGGACTCGGAAGGGAATTAATATATTTGCGCCCGAGAACAAAGTGCAAAAGTTCACACACACAACCATGTCGGAAATGCCGCCATCTTGGCTCGTTAGGTGCTTTGCTTCTTCTTCGTTGGGCTTTAATGGTGTAGACTAGCTTGTAAGGCGCATTACCGCCACCTACCGGACTGTTGAGGCGCAGTGGTTTACAGTACAGTATATTTATAGCAGTGCACTTTTCCCTCCCTTTTCTATGTTTATATATATATATACTGTTTGTATTATATATTATAATTTAGTAAACTGACTGACATATTTAACAATATATTTCATTTTATATTACAAACTGTACAATGGACCCAAATAGTGAACTCATTCGCATGACCATTGCCAACAACCACCTATTCTTAACCAAAAATAACCTGATGCAACTTGATTTTAAGTAATTGAATCTCAGTTTCAAAAGCTACAGACTGCAGCTTGGGAACAGGGTAGCCCAGGCACGCTCTGCCCAAGTGAGAATGATTTAGTGGTGAAGTATATGCTGTCTGTCCACATGTGGAAGGGAATGTGCTACTCCAGAACAGTACAGCTGTGCCTGGTTTGATGAGATGTGGCCCTGTGGTACAGAAGGCTGCTGCAGATCAAGGACCATATAAACACTGCGTTGGCTGTCCTACGCACAATCTGAAAAATGGCACACCTCCATTTGTTGTTTGGGTTGTGTAGTTAGATACAATCATACAAACCAGAAACTCAAAACCTGCTTCTTTGTCTCCTGCCTGCTCTCCTTTTATTTTGTCTTTAATGTTTCAAATCTTCCCTCCTCATCTACTTTAACAGTAGCCATATACATAATGATAGTGAATGATAGGGACTTTTGATTCAGTAACCAATATGCAAGACAAAATAAACATGTTCACCCATTTTTGGCTTGTGTATTTTTGTATGGATGTGTGTATGTTTTACAGATGGAGGCAGGGCTGGACTTCCAACTTGGCAAAGTGGGTCCCAAAAGCTGCAGGGTCACTGGCAGTCAGATGGCAATTTAAAGCTGCAGTAGGTAACTTAGAAAAATTATTGAAGACACCTCCTCAAAGCATCAGTATTGGACAATACTCTTTAGATAGAGGCAGGGCTTTAGATCACCTTGGGAATAGGTTTTTTGGAAAAGGTCTTCACTGCATCATCTCCTGTGCCTTACAAATCAGACATCAGCAGCTGTCACTCAATAAGTTGTCTGTAGGCTCTACAGGTACAATGATATACCCGAGTGAGTTCATGAGTTCTTGAAAATCAGGCAGGGAGGGAACCTAGAAGCCCAAATGTTTCTTCTGTGCATTAAGTGAAAAGGTTAATACCCACAATGTGTTGTCAAGATCTTCAAAAAAAGTGACAAACATTTATTGAAAATTAAGTTTTAATTTGAAATTCATTTTAATATTAAATAGATTATATAAAACCAAGCGTTGTCCTGTTGAGTGCAGCAAGTGCTCAGAACCGTGGGTTCCTTCCATTTCCACCTGGAAGACGCAAGAAACAGTCTGGTTAAATATTATAATGCAGCTTAGGGTGTACAAACATTTATACAACGGAATGAAATCTAGAGCACTTTCCTTAATAAAAGCCATCTGAAAAAGTGTATAATGTAATCTGTTGCAGACCGCAGTGCACACCTACTACTTTAAAATACATTCAGGTTACTGACTTGTTAAGGCATAATGTGTTCTTTGTGCTGAAAAGTTCTGGTATGTGACCATCAGAAATTATGTGCTTAATAGGTAGAAAAGATTAAGTTTTTAAATATTTAGCAATTTAGTGATCATTTGAAGTATGGGGATTTTTGGTTTGTACCAAAATGTTCCCGCCAACCTGCACAAAATGAACTACAGAGTCTGGTTAGAATGAACCAACATCTCAATTTCATAATCAATCTGCACCACGATTATCCACACCATCCTGAGGAGTGAGGATGAAGCAGATTCTCACCTTTCGGTTTGCTAGGTTTTCCACAGAAGCCGCTGTAGGCTTCTTGCTGGTTGCTCTGCTTTTCTGTGAGAGAGATTCTGTTAAAGTTTCTGAACATGTGTTCTCTCAAGCAGCTAGTTCAGACACTGCATCAGTTTGTAGGGTTTTTTTTAAAGTTTATATACATATAAATACACATTTTTTGGTAAATTACGAGAATAAAGTCATAATATTGCGAGAATAAAGTAGTAATTTTGTGAGAACTGTCAGCCTGTTGGCTCAGCCAGCAAAACTGTTTAACGATGAAATCAATATGTTAGTTTACCTGTTGACTGTACGGTACGACTGAGACAAACAGCGGCTGCTGGGCTCAGGCTGCTGTTTGAGCTGGTCACGTCAGATCTTGATAACTCTATCGAAGCTCCCCCCCCCATTAAAACGACTCTCGTATTACTACATTATTCTGGTATTATTAAGACTTCATTCTCGTAACATGATGATTTTATTCCAGTAATATTACAACTTTATTCTTGTAATTTCCAAAAAATGAAAAAATATTTTCCTACTCTGGCCCTAATGCTTTATTTTAAGCACCGTTATCCAAAATCAAAATCACTGATTTAAAAAAAAAAAATGGTATTTTCAAAGTGTGGTCTTGCAGGTATTTGGTCCTAAACCAGATTGGAGTTGTGACCTGATGGCGTGCTGTGTTGCCTGCATCCATTCCACATTACATGCATTACCTTGACTTCGGTTCCTCCACAGACTGTGTCTCTTTTGGGTATTTTGCCTGTGTCCATTCGTGTACAATCCGTCAGCCTTGCAACCATTTGTTTTCTTGTTATCTAGAAAATATGCAACAGTTAAACCACACATTTTTTTCCTTGAAGGGGCAATTGGCACATCTGTTGAATTAAGAAGCAGATCACCTGAATATTTGTAAGGGTGCCTTCTGCTTGGTCCCATGCTGCTCTTCAATTCCTCACATAAACAATCCTGTAATTCTGAACACTGGATGCCACAGTCCACTAAATGGCCCTTTGGAGACACTTTGGCCATCATTTGGTCAGCCATTGGGACACACAGTTGCCCGTTACTCAGCTGACTGAGTTCTTCGTTCCCACATTTTTCATCCTCCGCCTCCCTGTCAGCTTTTTGGAGAATCGGACGGTCTGTACATGAGACCTCCTCCCCTGCCACATAATTCAATAGGAGTGCCTCTTCCTGTTCAGGGGAGCAGGGGCTTTTCTCTTGTTGCTTATTTACAATGACAGACTCCTGGTTTGGGCTTTGAATAGCCACCGGTTCAGCAGATCCATTTTCGTCCAAGTGCTTGTCAGTGGGGGTAAATAAAATTCTTTTACTCGACAGGTGGGTTGGGGAAGCTAAGGGATCCCTTTCTAAAGGGGCTGTGCTCTGGCATTGCTTTGGTTCCCCACCTTCTGAAGCATCCGTTCCAATCTCCATTTCTCGATTCTTTGAGGGACTTGCCTTCCCAGGTGGGGTACTGTAAATGAGCCAACTGTCTGACATCGGAACAGAGTCAGAAGAGGAAACCCTGCGAGACTGCCTCCTTTCTTTACTAGATTTGACAAATAGGTTGTCACTTTTGGTCAGCAGCCTACCATCTTCAGCTTCCTCCGTCATCTCAATGATTACTTCAGGTTCAAACATGCCTTTCTGCAGACTCGACTCCTTAGTGGGGATAAAGGGGGCTAGAGACTCCACAGACCACACAGACTCATTCATTTTTCCCCTCGTCGAACAGCTACTTAAAAACATTGAACAGGGAATGATCTCTGTAGTGTCTTCATGTGGATTTGTCTCATTGCAATTTTCTTGCTCGTCATCAGGAGGAGTATGGGATTTGTTTAGGGAATGCAACGGTTCATCAGTGTGGGGTAGGCCTCGTCTTACAGGTCCATTTTCTCTTCTAGAGTCTGACAAAAGTTCACGAAGAACAAAAGGCAGTTTGAGGATCTGGCAGCGGGTTTTCCAGTCTTTCACTGAACTTAAGATATTTTCAGCATCATCATTAGCCTCAACACCATCAGCCACTACTGGACCATTCTTGGGCTCAGTTGGACTCTGGTAAACTGACTTTCCATGCTCTACTTCAGTTTCGTAAGACGGCAGCTGGTGTTCATTGTGAGGCAGCACCTTGTCTGTCATTTTCAGGATAATTTCCTCTGGTGAGCAGCCTCCCCAACTCATCAGAATGTCAGGAACAGAGACGCGTCTCTCTTTGACAACCTCATCCTCCTGTTGAGAAGAGCTACACACAGGAACCATATTTTCTGGAGTACTCTCTGACCACATATTACAGTGACCATTTCTCAAAGGGATAACGTTCTCCTGATCAACACTGTCTTTACGGCACTTGTGCGTTTCTACAGTTGCTCTGATATGTGATTGGACAGTCTTTGTCCCTGTAGGATGTGGGGTATTAAACCTGTGTTTGACTGTGCCATTTTTGCAGGTGCTGTGAACCTGCAAGTCTTTTGCATTACTGCTGGGTAAGGTATGGTTCTCAACCTCAGTAGAACCTTGTTTTTGTTTAGGATTTGAGGATGACTGAGAGTTTGAAGAGGTTTCATGTCCAGAATCTGATCTGCTGGGTGGGCTCCCAACACCGTAACCACCCGTGCCTCTCTGTGTTGGTTCAGTTTGAACTGCAGAGTTCACAGTTTCTCTAACAGGGACAGTGTGAGGTGGACGAGTTCTGCAGGTCTGGTGAGGATTCTGGTAGGGTGCATAGGGAGCATAGACCTGGGGGTGGAGCAAGCGTCTGTAATCCACTGGTTGGATGTGCGGGTGGGGCAAAGTATAGGCTGGAGCCTCCATGTATAGGGGAGGAGGGAATGGGGGCATGACCATACCATAGCCTGAGAAAAAAAAGAATTAGATGAACTAAGCTTATGGTTAAAGTTTAACAATGTTATAATGTAATAAAGTCCAATAGGGATTAATGCCAGAGTTTATAGACCAAATTTCACATGTTATACATTTCAATATTATATTGGATGACAAAAGGTTTCTACAAGTTCTTGTTATTGTGGCCACCCCTTGTATCTTACCCTAAGAGCAAACTGAAGAGAAAAACCCACTAGACTCACCCATGCCTGAGAAGCCAGCAAGGGGATTATAGGAGAAGGGCATGGGCCACTGGTACTGGAGGAAAGGGGGTGGAGGCAGAGCAGGTTTGTAGAAGATGGGCCGGGCAGAGACATTGTGTTGGGGATAGGATGAATGTCCTGGGTCCTGGCTGATGCCATGCATTCCTGGATCCTGCTGTCCAGAATTTGGTACATAGCTGTTGGGGCGGGAGTGTAGGTTCCCACCTTCTGGTCCTGGATGACCTGGTGGAGGTTGGTTTACGGCTGCCATAGTCAACCTATGCAGAGGTTGAGGAAGAAGGACTGTTAGTGCATTCAAACTGTGCTGATAAACCTTTAGAACTTTAGTGGTGCAGATATTCAGGGAATGTTTTTTGTTATTAAAGTGAGACTTTAAACACCCAGCTTCCTGTTGTGTTCACACTTTACCACAGTAAGGAATACTGAAGTCACAAAACTTACTGCACAGCGACGTTACTATTCCATATTAAACATACTAAAGGAAACACATTAGACACCATATACATTGTGACTGCAGGTTACAAGCGTTTATTAGAAATCTTGCACCCTCCATGGTCCAACAAATGTGGGAAATTGCATTTTACAAATATGTTTAAGGTCAGTATTAGTTTTAAGAGTTCAGAGGATTAAGAAATAATTTAAAGAAATTCACACTTGAGATTTTCAGAAATACTGAGGTCAAAAGCCCTCAACAGAACTAACCTAACTAATAAAAGACCACCAAGGACAAACCACTGGTCTTTATAAAAATAAAAAATAAAATGTACCTAACTTTACTCAAACAAGAGAAAATGGTAAGTTACTTTGGCAAATTGGCCATTTACAGTGGTGGATGAAGTCACACTTCTGCTCTACTCAGTATTTCTGGTAGTAGGTCAGTGTGAGGGACTGAGCCAAAAGTACCTCTCATTACAGCCTCTACATGCTTTTCACAGCAAACATGTTGTGGCAGGAAAACTACAGATGGACTTAATGCATTTGAATGTGAAAAGATCGAAAAGATCAGAGTCCATGTGATTTTTGCTGTTCATGCAGTCACGAAAAAAAAAAAAAAAACACATCTGAGTAACATATGAGCAAACAAGAAATAATCAGAGTTAGTTTACCTTGTAGAAAACTTGGATATTGCAAACTCAGAGCAACACACACAGTGATAAAACTGAGCAGCAGACACACCTGAGTTTAAGTAGCTGCTGATCAGACAAGCCTGAGTGCCATCAACTAATATGAAGCAACCCTGAGGCCTCCTGCAGGACCGAATGTCAGTGTACAACACTAGATGGAGCCAAACTGCAGTCAGACAGACTGTCAGTTTTTCTAAAATCTTCTTTCAGACATTGTCTGGAGTTTTTCCACCTATTCAGTAATCCCACCTCCAAAACTCTCCAGCCTCTTTCTGTTAAACCATGCACAGAGCTTTTTATTAGAATAGCATGACATTATTATTATTATTATTATTATTATTATTATTACATGAAATTAGATAATATATTTTCTGTTAACTGCAGTCATGATTTAATCAATTATAAAAAATGTCATCAACAAAAAATCTTGCCACGCCAGTCCAACTTTCAAGTCCCTATTTAATGATGTGAAGAGACAATGCGATATCAAGTGGCATTTATTGATAACTGATATCAGATTATAACATTGATTTACTTTGTCTTACTGAGACCTGGTTGTCCCAATCATATTAATACTAACCGAAAATTATAATTCATTTGAAAGCCTTGTTCTTAGTCTTTCTCACCCAAACTGGAAAACACTTACTGAACAAAGAGGGATCTCTCTAGAAATCCTTTGTATTTAAAATACAAAAAAATTAACACCATGCTGTTTGTTTGAGATGTAAAGGAGCAGGCCATGACCAGCGACCAACTACCAGTACGTGCAGAAGTAGTGATTTAGATTAATTTTTAAATTTTCTAGCACACCTTAAAATCAAGAAAGCCTTGTGAGCCCCCCCATGAAGCTTTGGTGACCCTCAGTTCGTGTCCCGACCCCCAGGTTGCGATGCATTTGGGGATTTTGAGATTTTTTATTATTATTATGTAAATATATCATATACAAACTATACACTTTATGGACAAGCACAGCTTACAGAGCCAAAACATTTACAAAATCTATTATTGTTACAATTGTTTTTATTTATAATATTTATACCTGCATAATTACCTATTTTGTCTCAGTATGTAATATATATCTTTCGTAGCTTGTTCTCAGCCCACACATCTGTAAATAATGTGCACACAACAGTGTCATACCTTTAATTATGTGACTTATAACATATAAAATACAGCCATTGTATAATGCTATCAACACTGTGATCTTTTGTACAAACTGTGCAGCTTCCATTCAAAATAGCAGTCATATTGTACATATAGTCTATCACTGGCTTTATATATTTTCATATATTATTGTTTTTCTATTTAGGCTTCCTATAATAACATAAAGTCCTTTTCTATAACAAATAAACTCTCTCTGACACTGCTGCTGTTTAATCTGTGTCTTTGGAGGCGTCGCCAGTCGGTGGCAGCACTGACCGCCACTCGCCTTCAGACTGCAACCAATTGAAGCCACGAAGAAGAATGTTGTGAACAAGGAAGTGTGTATTTACAGGAAGCCAGCGTAAGCTGCCTTTTGTTTTGTTTTGACTTTGTTTTTCTCTACCAACTTAAATGGTCGTTTTTTTCCGCCAGGAAAGGTAGCTGGATTACTTAATAGGCTGTTGTTTATCTAATTTGTTTCTGTTGAGTTTATTTTCTCATGACACTTTAACGTTTAACTGCGAGCTAGCTTTAGACGCTAACAACAGAGCTAACAGGCCCGAAGGCCGTCTGTCCATTGTCTGTCCGACAGTCACACTCCTCTCCTGTGGACATACAGCGGTGAGCTCTGAACTCCGACGTCGTTTGGAAACATTAGAGTCGACATTGAACAAGAGACCAGCACCGCTGTCATCCGCTCTCCGCCCAGGTAACGTCAGCGGTACCGGCTAACAGAACCGGCTAACAGAACCGACCGTACTCCCGGGTCGTTCAGTGTTATTCCCCCGCTGACAGTAACGGGACCAACCGACACCACAGCAGAGGATACGGAGATTGGATCACCATGTATGCCCCGCCGGGTTCTGCTGCCACTGGAGGCCGGAGGAGGAGAGGGGGTACCTCCCTGCCCAAGCAGCCGGAGCGGAGCCTGGTGTCGGCCCTGCCCGGAGCTCTGTCCATCACAGCGCTGTGTACGGCTCTGGCGGAACCGGCCTGGCTCAGGGTTCACGGAGGCACCTGTCCGAGGCAAGAGCTGGGGGTGGCAGATGTCCTGGGCTACATTGACCCCAAGCTTCTGGACGGTGAGGACCAAACACAAGCCCGTTCAAACCTACAGCAGAGATTAATCCCGCAGCTCACTCGTGATGCTTTGTGTTGTCTCTGTGCTCTTCCAGATTACTGTGTGAACCCGCAGACCATCCTGCTGCTGAGGGTGATCGCTGCCTTCTGCTTCCTGGGCATCCTCTGCAGTCTGACTGCTTTCCTCCTGGATGTGTTTGGCCCCAAGCACCCAGCGCTAAAGATCACCCGCAGATATGCGTTTGCACACATTCTCACAGGTATTGATCAGGGAAACGCTGATTATCAGATCTGATGTTCAGTGTTTTTATTATTGTCTGTCGTGTGTCTGATAGCCGATAAAATAAATGATGTTCTGATACCATTTTCTCTTTCCCAATACCTGCACTTTGAGGATATGTTATTATTATTATTTAACATACCACCAACTCTGTACGATTGTGTTGAATGTTCTGGTAAAGGTGGAGGCAAATTTTTGATTACTTTACACTGCTGGGTAGCTTTATCTATAACAATACGTCATCATTTATTAGTTTATTTATACTCTTTATTAATAATATGAATCTGTAAAGTCATTAAAGTCATTAAATACAAGTAGAGGAGTAGAAAAAGTTCAATATTTGCCTCTTAAACGTAGTTTGAGTGGGAGTTTTAAAGTAGCATAGAATGGAAATACTCATATACTTGAGTAAATGTTTACGCCGGCACTCGTTATTCTACATTTCGACACTAAGATAGTAATATCAAACACATGCTGGAGTTCTTTTCAGGAGTACCTAATTGTTTTCTCCTCCTCTTTCAGTGCTGCAGTGTGCCACAGTCATAGGCTTCTGCTACTGGGCCTCGGAGCTCATCCTGTCACTACAGCAGCAACACAAAAAGTACCACGGCTCTCTCATATACGTCACTTTCGCCATCAGCTTCTACCTGGTGGCGGGGGCCGGCGGAGCCTCTATCCTCGCCACAGCTGCGAACCTCCTGCGCCACTACCCCACCGAGGAGGAGGAGCAGGCTTTAGAGCTCCTCTCGGAGATGGAGGACAGCAGTGAAACTTTTCCTGCTGATTATGACATTGCCAATCAGTTTCAGCCGCCGCCTGCCTACACGCCCTAATGCCGCCAGACTGGCCTTGTTAACACACGCTTCTCTCTCAGCACGGCTATTGGCTTGATGAGCAAAAACCCCCCCCCCACTCTTTATCAAACGGATATCTTTGCAAATACTCTCCATAATGAACACGGCGACGTGCACAGTTAGTGCGCAAAACTCCTTTAAGGACAGTGCTTGGGTGCATGAAAAGCTTTCTTTAGTGGTGGCAGAAATTTAGGAGATGGTTCTTACATTCACCACTGAGGTTGTTAGTGATTTGCATGTAAATGGCTTTTAGGATTTGGTTCTTACATGTGAAGCAAACTAAACTGCAAGGAGTGCTCAACATGTCTCATCACAAGTAATTGATGAAAACGGCCGCAGCCTGATGAGTGCCAATTATTGAAGCCGGGCTGTCGGCAGATTGTCGGCGAGTGTATTGGTCTTTGGTTGGACGTGGATCGAGCTTTGTGAAGCATCATTTTGATGTAATTTTTGATAAGCTTGCCATGTGTATGATTTTATTTTACGGAGACATCGGAAATGGCGAAATACACTGAGAAGTTTTAGACATTTCTTTTATATAAAATATCAAATTGACCTTATTATTTATTATTTAGCCGTCTGTGCTGTGTCTTACTTTCTTTCTTTCTTTCTTTTGCTTTGTAGACATCTGTCACTGGTTTAGTCTTATTTAATCACATTTGTACTTGAAAATAACATGAGAACATTTTAAAATGTGAAACCGTTCTTTGTGGTGTTTTTAAAGAGGATCATGGCGGTGTGTTATGTGTGGAGAGCTAGCAGCCACGGAGAAATTGAGAATGTACGTTTCACAATAACTGACTCTTAGTAACGGGAACCTCGTCGCATAAGTTGGTTGTGTCATGTTTCTTGTATTTGATTTAAAAAAAAAAAAGAGAAAGAAACCTTTTTATTTGTATTTTGTGATTACCATATGTGACAGTTTGAGTATGTGTTTTCTATGCATGAGTTCTTTTCGTGTGCAAATTTTAAACCATCAGGCAGAATCTTTAAGAGAGCATCTATTAAGGTTCCGGCTGAGGCTTAAAGTTGTGATTGATGTGGTGACTCTAGTTGATTGTGTATTGTTCTGTTTCCTCCATTTCTGCATTTTGTTTCCTTAAAATTGTCACTATACTTTCATCACCAGTATGTAAATATTGATTGTTTATACATAAAAAGTGGACATAATAAAACAAATGCCATATTTTGCCTCACGTTTTGTCATCTGTAACTTTACAAATGTCTTCCACAAGAAAGCAGCCTATAGGGCAGAGCTGCAAGTTTTAATTTAACAGTGTATTGACATTGACATTTGAGTCTGACCGAGATATTTCTGGGTTTACTGTCTAGACGCAACACGGCATTACATGGGGTAAGAGCCTTACAACCTAATGGACTTTAAAGGGCATACAGTATGCCTCGTACTGTATAAAGGCATTGCATCCACTGCCACCTCACAGAAATACAGGAAGCATTTTCAGAAACTGCACTCGGATGCAGACTGATGTATAAAAGTAAAGTCACCTCCCTTCACATGAAAAGAATACATACGTTAAAAGACATGTTGGGTTATTTCTGCAGGTTTCTCCATCTCGATGCCTTCCTAAAAGTTAACTCATAATGGGGTCGAGATATTTCACGGGTTAAATCGCTACATGTTTAGATTACTCTCCAAAGCTGAAGTTTCACAGGGTGGCCAAATGACTTAAGTTAATCAGATGAATAAACAAGGTATTAATAGGGTACGGTGTTCAGGAGGGGAATAGGTCATACAAGGCAAGGAACCGATTGCTCTTCTCAGAAGAGAAGATGGAGCTTAGGTGGTAACGTCACATGGCCAAACTCCGAGCGGTATATATACAGAAGGCGAGTTCAACGTTACAACCAAAAGTCTTTGCAGTGGCAAACTGTTGAGTCATATTTCCCTCCTTAAACAGTGAGACTAAAGCTAAATCATGCTGGCAACAAGGACTTTGCTGTCTAAACAAACACTGGCTGTGCTTTCTCGCCAGCCTGCCTGCTTTGTTCACCACGGTGACTATGGCAACTGGGGAAACACCAATATTGCAGTGGTAAGTGAAACAATCTGGGGTCAGTGAAAACAAACAGACAAAGTAATTAGTGTGGGTGTTATTGTGATCAGTGAATTACAATGTATTCCAGGTTTTCTCAGGCTGTGGCTGGTGGGATGGGACTGATGTCCATGAGGGTGTATAGTGAGTATCACTCCTGCAGAGCTCAGGACAGGAATCTTCACACCATTGCATGAACATGTGTCACTGTGCAGAGATAGAGGTAGTAACTGACCACTCTGTCTGCAGCACCATGTACCACCTGAGCCGCAACGGCGCTCGCTTCCAGATGTTTGCTCCAAATCAGCAGCAGATGCATGTGATGGACCACATGAGGAAGCAGCCTTCCTCTGGCGAGAACCGGTAGGCTTGTTTGGAAACACTGATGCACTTTTAAGGTGGATCGAGATCAGGGTTTCACTTTGTATGTGTATATATACACACAGTATATATACTATATACCTGACTTGACTAATTCCATAAAGGTAGTATTTATGATTATTTCTGGCCATTACATAGGAACATGATGATGGAGGCGGCTCGCTTCAGTCATGGTCAAGGACAGATGCAAATGCAAGACCTGGCCAAGCTGGATGCTAACAGCTTTGATGCTGTCATCTTTCCTGGAGGCCACGGCGTCACTAAGAACCTGTAAGGGATAATGAAATATGGTGTATACACTTTGAGACTGTGTAGTAAAATGAGGTACAATACAAAGCTGGCATGGCTAAGATGGAGCACTGATGTTGTTATATAACTCTCACCTCTTTAGATCCTCTTTTGTGAAGGATGGCAAAGACTGCAAGCTGCACAGCGATGTGGAGAGGGTGCTTAAGGACTTCCACCGTTCACGCAAGCCTATTGGGTATGTATTCATAACTTCAGATGTTCAAGTATGAGGCAGCAGTGTGTGACATTGTGGCTTTTGTTCAGGTATTTTGTGGGCTGTTCAATCACTTAAATTTAACATTTTAAATCCAAACGTGTTTGCAGGCAAAATTGCAGACTGACACTGATTCGTACCACTTTAAATCAGATTACATTAGATTACATTCCACTAGATAAATATACCAGATTTAAAAGATCCCTGTAATGGAATTGGGACATTGGAGCCGCTTTCGAAAGGAAAATAGTCAGACAATGAAGACTGAGCTGTTTATAGTTAGTAGATAAATAGAAATAAAGTATTTATTGACAGATCTTGCATAGACATGTTGCAGACTTTGTCATGAAGTTTGGAAAAATATATCCTATTACTGACATATGTTAATATTACCTTTAGTAGCAGTAGTAGTAGTAATGGACATTTTATTTATACAGCACATTTAATTACATGTAAACTCAATGTGCTTTACATTAGGAGACAAAATACAAACAAAGGCATAAACATGAGAAACTAGGCAACATAAATTCATATCATCTGAAATTTATTTGCATTTCCTAGAAGATAATTTGTACTTTTACCACATATACTACCACAAAAACATAATATGCTTCAAGTTCAACTGAAAATTAAATGAAAACCTGCTTAGCATAAGTAATGATGAGGGGAAATGTGCTTTTAACATCACTTTCTCATGCAAGTTGATGCACAGTTTAAGCTGATTTATCTAGTCTCAACTTTGGCTGTGACTGACCACAGCAGACGCAGCAGGAGGAGCAGGTGTGGCATAAACAGTCTTTACTCTCTAAAGGGGAAAAGCTTGATGAAGGCAGTCGGACCGGGGCAAATCCTTTAAAGCAGACCGGACAGAATGAAGGCTCAGCTGATCTGGTAGCCAGTGATCCTTTGGCTACTACGATGGCACACGTGGACGAATGCGTTGGCGGTTGGGCAAACTGTGCAGACAGGCGACAGGGTCAGGTGAGGGAGGTAGCGGAACATTACAGGAATTAAAAGAGTGGAGTTGGAGGCAGAGGAGGAAGAGGATGAAGCAGCTGATACCATGAAACCACAGAGTTAAAAGGGTATGTCAAGTTTTCACCTTTAAAAAGGATAAGGTGTAATCCTTCCCCATTGACATTGAGGGCTATAAAGAGTTTGATCCATTAAAGATAATTCCATGACAAAGGCCATAAAAAGATATGCAGAGTGGGTATTGTGGGTCTTGTAGGACTCTGTATCACACGGTGATTCACATGTTGCTGGAGCCTCACTGCTTCCAGATACACCCCCTCTCCATTGTTCTGGTTCATCAGAGTTGTAATTGGTGTCCTGATCTTTCGACAAAACGAGTGTAAATTTAGAATTAGACCATCATTTAGCCCCCCCGGTGGCAAACTTTAAGACTTATCTGCAGCTCCTCCGCAGTATAAACCCTCCAGCTGCAGCTGTGCCCTCAGGGATTTAAGTAGTGTTTCACTCTTGTTTGATTTAATAGTATAAAAGAAATCAATTCCATGTACCCTTACCTCAAAATCAACCTGAAATAGGTTGGATTTTGTTGAGCTATAATTCGCTTTATAAGCAGACAGTGAGACATGTTGACTTACAGGGTTAGAAGAGAGATATCACTCTGTATCTGTGTGGCTTTGGAAAGGTGCAGTTGAGTTGGAGGTGATGTTCAGTGTCTGTGAAGTGCCTCAGGCAGACGATTGCTCTTTATTATCACAGACTGTGCTGAATTCAACCCCCAGTAGACCTTTTGCAAATTTCCATTTGAGAGTCTATCAGAAATTGCTCGTTCTGATTAAAAAAGCAGGATGCATTTCTCATGAGAAATACATGAACTTAGCTGTATGTTGAGGTCATCGACATATATGCATTAGCTTTAATAACGGTGTCAGTGGCCTATTTACTGTAAAGTATCAGTGAGGAATTGAGAGTGTATACTGGGTTAGTGAGTGTCTTTTAATGAGCAGCCTTTATTAACCACATATGTAGTTATATCAGTGATTATTTGAATATGTGGAAGACACAAATGACTAACTGATATTATGTCCAGTTCTGTTGCTGTAACAGGCCAAAAAGTTAATCATTCTTCCTGTGTACTGGTATTGTATCACTTTAGCCGCGTTGTTCCCGCTATACTGCACGAATCATCCAGAGCTTCACTGAAGCAACGCTGCAGATCACGAGTCACAGTTGCACTGTAAGAAGTGGACTGTGGTTTTAGACTGGCTCTTAAACAGTGCCTTTAATGTCGGGGGTTAAATTCCACTAACAAGCATTATGTGAGCCTGATTACTCACTGATGTACTGAGAATCTTGAAACGGGAATTCCAGCTATTCCTTATAATTAGAAAGGGCACACTTACAGCTGTACTGACCCTTTTCAGAGAGGACATTTTGACATGTCACAGCAGAAAAAGCACCAGTGTCAATAATTACATTAATGACGGCTGAATTCCATTTAGCTGCTTCAGTTTCAGGGTCCTGGTATTGTGCATGCTGCCTCACTGTTACAGCAGTCGTTCTTAACCGTTTTCCCTTTCTATTATTTAGTAAACTGACCAAGTGACATATTTTATGGATATTTTATATTATATTCAAAACTCTACAATGAACCCAAATAGTGAAGTCAGTAACTGCAAGAAGTTCTTCCTAGGCTTCTTAACTGACACTTGGCAATTGTTCTATTTGACAATTCACATTTACTTTTCTTCACAGGAGTGAACCAAATGCAGAGATATGAGCCTACTGTGTATATTTTAATTTAGTTTTGTAGCACGGCTTAAAATCAAGAAGGCCTCGCAACCCCTCCATGTAGCTTTGGCGAACCCTAGTGGGGGCCCTGACCCCCAGGTTGGGAACCACTGATTTACAGGGACAGCTGAACAAAACAGAGCCTTCATTAAAGTTAAGTTACAACTGTCAAAATGTTGCTGGGTAGCTCACCTGGTAGAGCACTCGTCCCATGCTTTAAGGCTGAGTCCTTACTGCCGGCTCTCTCTGTCCCCCTTTCCTGTCTGTCTTCAGTTCCACTATCAAATAAAAAAGGCAACAAAAAAATGGCCACAAAACTAGAAAAAAGGCCTGTTGTTGACATGCAAACATGCACAGCAAAATCTACACAATTCCCTCATGTAGACTACAAGTTCTGACCAGACTGTTGTTGGCACGATATCTTCAATAAATAGTAAGAAGTATAAGCAGAAACTAGCGCCTGCATTTCTGTGAAGCCACAGCACTCCCACACAGGTGTTTCCACTTTGGCTGATTGGACCTGTGCTCAGGTTCAAGTTGGTAGGAGCTATGCAGGGAATAATAGCCAACCAAGTACACGTCTTTATAAGGACGACAAATGGGTTTTCTCTCAGCCCTGCTACAACTCTGGAGCCTGTATCTCCTCTCCCTCCATGTTTCCAGCAGCAGAATCAGAGATATCAGTCAGGTCTTAAGATAAGACAATTTCAGCAATTGCATGGCTTATTTCGGTGAACTCTAATATGAGAGAACTTTTCCAAAAGAGCCGCCCTGTTGGTCCAGTTTGAAACCCCCGGAGCAGGAAGTGTTTTCATGGTTGTAAGGAAGGTGTAGCCTTTTGTTGGGTAATATGACCACAAGCGTCCAAAGCTGGAAAACCGTGCAACATCGTACAAACACCCCCCCCTGTGGACACATACCATCATGGTACCACAGTTGCTACCATGCACATGCAGTTGCTGAATCTGTCGTTATTTTTGATTAATAATGGTTAGTTTAAACGTTAAACAGGAGTTTCCAGAGGCAGCGGGTCTCAGTAGCCTAGACTTCTACTTTATGCAAATGAGGATGCATTGCATGGCTGCTGACGTGACAATGAATGGCAAACGTAAAAATGACTGATCCTGTGGGCACATAAGGTTGTGTAGTAGTAGCAGCAGGTACAATTATTGGCATGACTTAAAGTAAAAACTAAGTGTAAGACTGTAGGAAAACTTCATGAAATGCCTTCTACAGGTATGTTACCTGAATTAACCATGGTTTTTATTTATGGGGCCAATGGTGATAATAAACAGCTGACAGTCTGTAATATTGCCTCATACTCATCTTCTGGTCAGTGAAAGTAGTTTTATAAGTACACACTGGGCTTCACACTGCACTCCCAGTGCTGTATGTTGGGAGATTCTTTCTCTATCTTTACATCTCACCTATCTGACACTGGTAAGGCAATTGTTCTCACACCCCGATCAGTCTCTTAATCTTGATTTAATAAAAAAACCTCAGCTGACTCCCGTTTCAGATTGGCCAGCATGGCTCCTGTGCTGGCCTGCCGTGTGCTGCCCAACATCGAGGTGACCATGGGCTACGAGCGGGACGAGAACACTCGCTGGGGCAACTGGCCTCACACGAACATGGTGCAGGCCGTGAAGAGCATGGGCGCCCGCCACAATGGCCGCGAGCCATATATATCCTTTCAGAGGTCTATTTTTTACTATCAGTGTTAGTTAACTTAATCAATAACAGATTTATGCTCATTCATTTATTGTTTTTTGCTCCCGCTTTGACCTTAACCCTCTCTTTCACGAAGCCTATGTTGATGAGAAGAACAAGGTGGTCAGCACTCCTACCTTCATGTGGGAAACCGAGTATCACTATCACTATATATTCGATGGCATTGGAAATATGGTCAAACATGTCATGCGTATGTCGTCCAAGTAATGTGACAAGCCTGGAAAGAGAAATAGAGGAAGTTGGTGTTTCATGTGCAGCATATACTGTACACCTCTCTGTACTGCGATGAATTCTTACCTGAAAAAATATAAATGCTTTAGTTAAAGAGCAAACAGCTTGTCGTGTGTAATTGATGGTATTGGTTTATATAGGCAAACATGTATAGTAGTGCAGATAACGTATACAGAGCTGCACATCTGAGGGGCATATAGGTCACTATGTGTTTGTCTTGACCCATGTTTTAAACTGGAGACATAATTTTTTTGTCATGACAGGCAGGGAGGAAGCCAGTGTCCTCACAGTCAACCAAAACCTCTGTATTCAATCAGAGTTAACACTGACCGTGTAAACTGTAGGGTCAGTGGTTTATAGTTTACAGTTCTGGAGTCATGATAAAAACACAAAAACAGTACACTGCACCACATAATCTACAAACAAGATTCACAAAATGATTGTTTCTTTGGTCTCATTTAGGCTAAACCAATGAGGATCTACACCTTGTATGTTCTCTCCTTATCTTCTCAAATTCACTGACTGAAACAGAAAATCATAAGATTTCCGATCTCTCCCCAGAATCTTTGAAATAAACGGAAATGTATGGACAATTACTGGCGATGTTGTGCAATGTTTGTTGCTGCTGCCTGCCAAGGTGAACCACCTGTGACTCACCCCCCTACAGACGGATGACTCAGTATTTACAGTATGTTGAAATATTGGGAAATTTTCAACTCTGAGAAAGAAGAGGAAAATCTCTTACAGTGTTTTCACACTTTTATTAACACTTTGAGAATGGTACACAAGACAAAGATTGGTTGCAGATGAGAAGCTGTTCTCACCTCTTTTTTTTTTACCTTGGAGTGGTCATATATCACTATTTTTTTCTGTTTGTGCCACCCCCCACATCCTTGTCTGGTTTCATTCTCATCTACCCTCCTCCAAATGTATCTGCTCTAGCCTTTCTGGCTGTTACAGATTAGCAACCCTCTGCTAATTCTCCCACAGGTCCAGTTTGTTGTTTCCATAAAAATCCCCACGGGATGATCCGCTTCTCTCAGAAGCTCCTTTGTTTTCTAGTTTTACTACCAACAAAAATGTTATATTTTCCTGCACTGAACAGACTATTTTTGTGACATAAACTCCATAAACACTTGTTTATATGTTACATTTCTAACACCCTGGGGAGCAATCAAGCTATAGTGTTCACAGAGAGGTCAAAACATTGAAACTAAACACGATTACATGTGCAGAGACTCAGTGGATGGCCCGATTGGTCCGTCAGACAGTTGGTCAACCACTTCGGTCCAGATTGAAAAATCTCAGCAACAATTAGATGGATTGGTTGGATGGATGGATGACAATAAACACTGATGGTCCCCAGAGGATAAAACATACTGACTGGTGATTTTTCCAATAGTACCACCATGACATACTTGCCAAACACTTCCATTTTTCCTGGGTTCATTCCCTATTTCAGGTTCTTTGGGGAATAAGTTGATCTCCTCTTGCATTTTTGAAATCTCTAAAATAAGAAAACTGGCCAACACGCAGAATATGAAGAACATGAAAATCTTTGGGAGTCAGCTGTCCACAACAGGCCTAAAGCACAGACATTTAGGAATCACACATGCACACACACACACGAAAGAAGAATTATAGAAAAGAGAATATCATATCACACACGCTCAATATCTTCACATTAACATCTCAGTACATCGTATTTTACACAAGCTGTACAACATTTACATATTAAGGAAGAGACAGTTTAATAAGTTTCCTGGCTGGGCTTCAATCGGTGACACTGTGACCATACGGTAAACCTCTCCAACCACTGGTCCACCAGGGTTTAGTGTTCTCTTTGTTACAGTCACTCGCTTTTATCTGGTGATTCCTGAATGGATTCTTCTAAACTTAGCTTAGACAACCCCAGAGACAGACATCCCCATCCCCGCTAATGGAGCTATGATCTTGTGTCGGCACAATGGGCAGCTGCCAAACTCAAGGATGACTCTGGAGATGCAGTGGATACACAGACACCGGTGACCACAAGGCAGAGTGTTTCTGGCCTTTCTTCCCATGCACACCACACAGACCTTAACACTGTCTTCATCTATGATCAAAACAGAGGAATCACAATTACAAAACTGAGATCAGAGCGAGCCATACAAACACTACTACACCTGATCTCACTGATTATTACATTGTCATCCTCTCTGGCTCAAAATGAAATCAGATAATAAGTTGGAGGAACTCGTTCTCACCTGCTGGGTCCACGTCAAGACAGGACATGCTGTCGTCACTGTATCCATCAGAAATCCAACTGTAGTGGTTGTCAACGTTGGTTGAGAGGAGGTCATCAGGTGCAGGACAGGACCGTCTAGTTTGAAGCTGTCCTCGTATCTCTGAGCCTGAAGCAAAGAGTAAAGGCATTTAATAATTTCATCTATTTCTAACAGTGATTCCAACAATTACTTGGAATTATCGGTGCATGTGAAATGTCCTGCCCTCAAATTACTGTAAGAACACACATCATTGTTATTTACAAGTGAACTGACCCAGGAGTAAAACGGAGCACGTCTGTCCGTAGATGTCTACCATCGCCCACAGCGGTTTGCTGAGATCCACTCCTGTAAATATCTTGCGCCACCCTAAGCTTTCGTTAGCAATGTATATGTTGCCTCCTTCAGAAACCCAGAACTCCAGCTCTGAACCTGCACGGCAGTAGGATTCAGGCACAGGAGCAGCCCAGTGTCCAGGTGTGTCAGTGAGGTTGGGGATGGCCATGGTGGGCAGAGGCTGAGATCTTTCTGAAGGTGGGATGTTGGTGAAGCCCAAACGCAGAGCTCCGTGCCAGTTAGACAAATCTTTCTGCACCCTCAGACGAATCCTCTCCTGGATCTTCACTGGGCGGCTGCTGAACACCAGACCGTTCTTGAAAGTGGACTCCCTCCTCTCTGCGAGCCGACGCCCATGACTCAGGCAGACCTGAACTCCCACAGCCTGACCGTGGAAGGTCAGAGGGCCGAGGCAGGACAGACCGCACCGGTGTGTCCTCTCTGAATCAACTGCAAAAGAACAAAAACACAGTTAGCCATGTTTGCATACAGTGAACAGGAAAGTATTACCCCTCTAATACCATGCCTTCTAGCTTCGTCATATAAATGATCAACACTTTTTTAAGATCTATAAATACTTCCACTGCAGTCTTTATTGTCAATTGCAGTTAAAAATCCTTTTATTTATGCAGTTTGGTTAGGTTTAGAAAAAGATTATACTCTATTAAGCGCATACCTGACATTGACTTGTGGTTTCACACAGGACTCAAACAGCCATCTCCCAGGTGAAAGTCCTGTGTTTCTTCCACCTCCTCCAAACACGGACTTTGTCACTCTTACACAGTCTTATATTACTGCTGGTACTTCACCTACATACACACGTGTAGGTCTAGGCGAGGCACAACGTGACTTGATACAGTATCTTTTTGTAGATCGGTGGGGAACTTTCACTTTCTTCCAGCTTTAGTCCTGCACAGATTCAGTGTGTGGTTTCTGATTTGCTGACGATCAAGTTGTTTATATGAATATTGTTCCATATTGTCAGTTCGCCGTTCCAGGTCTTTGAGCTTCCTGTCTTTCTCCTTGATTAGGATTTTCAGCTTACGCGCCTTTTCCATTAGATGAAGGTAAATTGTTTGTTGTTTAGCCACTTTGCTGTTAGCACTTTTGATCTCAAATCATATCCTCTTCTTGCACTGCAGATGCCGATTTAGTTGGAAAGGTTGTGAAAATGTGTAAAATTACCTTTAAAGTTTATCTCCTGCTGCTCTGTTCTTTCATAAATCATTATTTCCACCTACATTTCAAGTCTTCATTTGCAATCATTTATTTTACAGCACTTACGAGTGATAAGACCTAATTTCTCCTCAACAAACAAAAATATGGATGTTTTCATGATGTACAAATACATAAAAAACTGAACTATAAAAGCTATTTTCCTACCAAATTAATATACCTTTGGCATGAAATGAAATCATCTGTTTTGTCAACATTAAAAACTAAAAAAGATAATTTGTCAGTCTTTACTTATTCTTAGTATTTAGTTGAGTAATAACATAAAAACTTGTGAAAAATTGTGGTTGTCAGAGGACCTTATTGACATTAAAAGCAGTACTGTAAATAAGCTAAAAAGTCCAAGAATAAATATCTCACCAGAGTTCTCGTTGTCACTCTTCATCTTGAAGAGGCAGACAGTTTTCTTCGTGTCTTGAGGGTTGAGTTGAGTGTTGGCTGCCTTAAATCTTTAAATCTTTAACTTTTTTATCAGTGACCTTTGGAGTAACAAAAAAAACCTGGGGGCCTGGGCTATGTGAAAATATACTACTATATAGCAATTTGAGACAATGATATAAAGGAATCCACTGATGTAATGTAATGTAATTGTAATATAAGTTGTAGTTTCTGTATGCAACCTTTTAAAGTGAATGTCACTTGCTTGTTTACTGTAAAATAGGATGCATCTTTTTCCTCACACAGCTAGCAGACTTTGTTCCTCTAAGCTGAATCTAATATTTGAATGTCTTGACCCTGATATTGCAGATCAGATGTATTTCTGTAACTACTACAGAGTAAGTGCAAAGCTTCTGTTAAGCTCCCCAAGAGGGTTATCTGTCTGTTGCCACTCCCATGTTTCCATGTCCTGAGATATGAGTCTGCAGACGGCTGCTGGATTCCCGCACTCCGACTCCAGAAGCGGCTCTCAGCTTTGCCATCTTATCCAAAATAAATATTAAGCCGGTTGGCTGCGAGATCAGCGACCAAAGGTCACAGATCTCCGTTTCTCTGGAGTCCATCTTCTGGTTGGACCCAGGAGACAACCCACAGTGACACCTGGAGTTCAGTGGAATCACAGTCCAGCTAACTTCATTAAGTTAAAGAGCAACTGTCTTCACCGTTTTCCCTCAGAGGACAAAAAAAGCAAACAACACACTCGCTCAGACTCCATTCAGAATAAAACAATTTATTTATTACAAACATATAAAAATGACAAAAACAACCAGGTGGCAAGATATAAAAATTTCCATTTTGTACAAAACTTTCCAAAACCATCATCAGAAATGCATACTCACTCCATATGAAGCTTGTCATCTGGGTTATTTAAGTAAATATAGTACAAATCTTGAAACTTGTCGTGCAGCTACAAAGATATTCTTTAAATCTGTTTGTCTGGTGATGTAAAAAAAACCCAAAAAACGGCTTTTGTCATTTTTCTGTAAAAAACAAAACAAAACAAAAGTAGGCTAATGGGCACAAAATTCATAACAGACTTCAAATACAGAACCAGAAGTCAGTGAAATATTCACAGTGTTGCCTTCACATCAGTGATGTGAATTGTAAACATCGTTGCATATAATAACTCGCCTTAATAAATATACAGAAATACTCTTTTTTTAAACGTCTGATCAGTTTAGTTTGATTATAGCTCAAACCGTCCGTGGTCAATCAACTAGTGCGAGCTTCTGACATCAACAAAAATAAGGCAAAAATCACTTCCCTGTGTTTCTTATCAAGTTTGAATATATCATTTAATCACAGAGGCGAGGTTAGACCGATTCAGGTGGAGTAAAGTAGCATCTGATGACGTGGAATATACAATAAAACAGCAGGGTTCATTCACATTAAGGTACATATAAACATTTGTACAACTTGGACAAATATGGGGGAGGCTATTTGAAGTCGTTTAATTTATAAAGTCTCAACAGGGGAGCATTACTGTGACACCTAAAATGTATAAAACAGGAAACGAGTTCAGGGAACCAACAGGGGAATCACAGTGGCAAATAACAAATAAATTCTTCTCTTTAATACAGTTAATTATTGTTTAGAGTTTGAGAGTTGCCTAATTATTTGATCTTTAAGTACCATTATTACTATTTTAAGTACTTTGACAGATGTAGGAGATGATGGTGAAAATGCTTTGAGCACTGTTTGATTGGCAACATAGCGGCTACAGACATTTCCACCAACAGATGTTATCTTGGACACAGACCTACATAATTGTCATTAGCATCCCTTAATTATTAAAGGGAAGTCTTTGCAATGGACATGAACTTGAAATACTACCTTCATTGTGTAGCATGCTGCTGCTTTTATAAAGCAACTCTCAACTGTAAACTTCTTCGTCAAGGGGGAGCATTTCATTTCTCGAAGCAGCCCTGTGTGCCTGATTGTCAAGGTTGAAGAAAATAATCCCAAAATACAGTTACACGAGTTTCTTAGAAAAATAAATAATCCCTTCTCAGCTTCACCGTGCAAAGCACAATGTAACAAACACAAGAAAAAGAGTATGTGTCATCTGATAACAACTGAGGTGTTGCAGTCTATCGCATTTGACGGCGTATCTTTAAATTGTTTAACTTTAGTCTGCTGTAATAGAGGATAAAAACCTTAAACAATAGGTTCTTTCATATGAAAAAGCTCCAGTGAGGTTGTGACAGTGTCCGGGACCACAGTGCTGTCGTCTGTTCATTAAAACTGCTATTTGGTGTCGGTCTTAGATATACCTGTGAAAGACAAAGAGTAGTGCAGCGTTGGAAAACAAGTCTTTAAAGGGTAAAAACTGTACACTTAAGGAGCAGAGGTTTTGGCATGCACAACATCACTTCACATGGATGATACAGTGGCAGGCAAGGAAAAACACGCAGGTGGACGAGCAGTGAGAGGCAGAGATGTTCTGATACCACCTTGATACTGATTCCAATACCTGAACTTTACGTATTGGTGATTCTGAGTACTGATCTGATACAAGTGAATTTAAAAGATATATATATAGCCTATATTATTGTTTTTTAACAGCTATATACTACCACCCCTGCATGATTGATATCTCAAAGAATGAAAGCCATAGAACTTGATTTTATTATCTAGTTTGACACTCTAGCTAGCTCTGGCTTACGCTACACTACCAGAAATAAACTCTTCTTCGTCACTCTTAAACAGTAGTTGCCAGTGCCCAGTGAGAATATGGGTATATAGGGTAAACCAGTCAGAGTCAGAGTGGGCCAATCTGCCTAAAATATGCAGTATCAGAGGAATTTCTTATACTATAAGTAAAGGTATCGGAACATCTCTAATGCAAGGTGGAAAAAAAGAGGAGAGAGGTGAGAGGGCAGGCAGAGTAACGGACCGAGTTAAGCTGCTAGAGCAGTGCTGAGTTGGAGTCAGAGTCTGAATCGTGGCCAGGGGTGAGGCAGGGCTCACGGGAACAGATGGATTCCTGAGCCCGCCTGTACTCTTGGTACTCCTGGCGGAGAGCGTTGAAACGCGCCTCGCTTAGGGAGCGGCTGTACTGGCAGCGAGGTTGGTTGGAAACTGGCGGGCTGACTGAGGGAGACGGGCCTGGGGAGGGCATGAGGGAGAGGAAATGCATGGATGGGCACGTCATGGGACAAGCTCACAACAACAGCACAAGGGCATGGGATGAACACATGCAGCATCACATCAAGCATTACACTCACAAAGACATGCAACATCAAAAACAAAGAGAAAAAATGATCACCTTTCCATCGCTGGTCCTGGAGGCCACCAGCTTGATCATATCTGAGCTCCCCCCTGCCTCTCCGAAAACCCGTCTTTGACTGATCAAACCTCATGGCCTCCAGGACCTCCGAGTCCACACAGGCATCAGCAGAGTCCCACTCATAACTCTCATCTACTGATGTGTTCCTTCTAACGAGATACACAGAAATAGTGGTCAGATAACAGTTATCACAGGCAACAAAGAAAAACAACAAACAAAATCAGTTATTTTGGGAACATAAATAAATCCCTCTGCCAAGGAGACACTCCAGTGTGTTGATTGTTACTGGCCAGGTGTGGGTGGCGTTTCACCTTTTCGCTCTCCTCTCAGGCAGCTCCATCTCAGCTCTGTGCCGCTCGCTTTCCTCTGTGGTTTCGGGGGAGCTGAGCAGTGTGGGAGTGATGGACAGGGACTGACGGAAGAGACCGGCGCTACCTCTCCCACTGCTCTGACTGGCATAACTGGTCCTCCCTCCCTCCCTGATGTCTCTGCCCTCCCGCATCTCTGTCTCCCCTCTCCTCGCCATCATCCTTTCTGGCTGTCTGTAACACTCTACCTCCCTGGGTGGGAAAGGGGCGTAGTAAGGCGAGGGCCAACTGGTGCCCCTGGGCAGGTAGGACCTCGGAGGGCCCTTCCTGGGGTCCACGGGTCTCATGCTTTCCCCTTGGGATCCTGGCCAGTGTTGGTACTGGGGGACAGGGATGGAGGAAGGCATGGGGACATATTTACGCTGGGCAGATCTCAGGGTTTCTTGATAAGAAGGAGACCACCTGGAGGACTCTGGGAAAACAGCGGCTTGCCGTCGTGGATCAGAGGGTTCCAGCATCGGGGAGAGTGAGGTTTGTCTGGGTGGGTACATCGAAGGAGTGAGGTAGGAAGGACTAGCTAAAGGTCTTTGTGCATGGTGAGGTCTCTCTAAGCTCCCCATGCTGGGGCGTCTGAATGGGACATACTCCCTCCAGGAGGGGCCGGGCCTGGGAAGGGAAGACGGACTGTGACCCAAACTATAAGACTTCATCCTGACATCTGGGTTTGGGTACTCGTCCCAGTAACATTTCTCAGAGATATACGTCCTCGGGCTCTCGAAGTGCTCCCACCTATGGGAGCCTAAACTGATGGATTTCTTTAGGAAAGGACGAGGCTGTCCCAAACCTGAGAGGGTCCTACAAGGGCCCATGCTTAAGGATTTCTTTAGAAATGGCACAGGGGCTTGACATATACGTGATGCAATGTTATTAGTCCTGCTGCCCTGAGATGTTTGTCTTTGGGATTGCTCTGATAAAGACTCACTACTGTCAACAAAACTGTGTGAGTGCTTTGAAACTATATCTGCCATGCCTTTAGCTGCACTGAACAAGGTGTGAGCAGACCTGGATGCAAGTCTGGATTCAGGTCTGTCTGTGTTTTTATTCCCAAGTCGAATTTGTGTTTTCTCATCGTAAAGTTGCTTGCTAGTTTTTTCTGGACCAGGTGACAATGGTCTCTCATCTGGGAATCTTACTCTGTGTGAAGAATCTCTACCTTCCCCGTGGAGGGAGTGTTTATGGCCTTGTTTGTTGCTAGCATGAAAGCTGGACTCTGCAGCACCTGCTGAATGAGCTTGTTTAAAGCAAAC